ATATATTAAAAGGATAAACTTACATATTTAAATTTAATTTTTATAAATTATTAACGTTAAACAAAAAATGATCAATTTTTTTTGATTTAATTAGTCAATTCAAATGATATACATTCTCGTGAATGTAAATAATATGCTTTTTAAAATTGATAATAACTTTTATCTTGCAAAACTCAGTGATAGCAAATTATAAGATCATTTACTATTTTTTTTAAATGATTTTTGATCATTTTAACTTGACATTTATAATAAAATAATATTATTTAAGATTATTTAAGGTCATTTTAAAGTTATTTACTAATACTGTGCAAATTGTATTACCCAGGTAAGCTCTGATTTTTATTATTATTATTATTATTAGGAAAGTAAATTTAGCTTTTTCATTATTATTTTTCAGAATACTGAAACTGTAATCCAGTCTTATGAGAATACTTAAGTAACTGAAATAAGTATTACATCATAAAATTCTAAATACAGCAAAGAACAAGTACACAGAACACTAGTTTTAAACTTAATGTTCTTCTAGAGTATTTACAGATTTCAAGCTGTGGTTATTCTAAAGCAAGTTGCTTTAACAAAATCTTTTCAAGTTAATAATGCGTTCTTTGCTATTTCTGATCACATTTTGCAATTTTTAATCGAGTAATTTTATCGCATAAAGCAAGGTATTTCATAGATGTATGTGTTATAGTTTCATAATATCATGCATAGGTAGACAATCTATTATTTTTACTTTATATATATATATATATATTAAATAATAGGGATGACCTCTCTGCAGATGATATAACACTTACCTATTATAGGCCAAATCTCTAACACAAGTTTCAAACTCAATCAGTTCTATATATATATGATTATCTTACAACTTTTACCTATTAATGGTCTTATGCAGCTTGTGTTTTTGATATCACAACTATAATTACATTGTAAATCTTCTCTAGTTATTAGTTGGTTGGCTATAATTTGCTTAACTTTGATATTTTTTAAAAACATCTTCTAACTCATTTTTAGGATATTAATATCCTATATTGCAAAAAAGATTCTGCAAATTTATTATCATGGAGAGTGCATTACTCAAATTTAGCAAATCTTGTAATTGAGGATCAAGTTAATAAAGTAAGTTTTGTTTTTGATTTTATATTGTGGTATAATGTTTACATTTTCTTCCTAAATTATTAGTACGAGATCTAGATTTTTGTTGTAAAAGAAGAAATTTTACAATATAAATTTAAGCAGGTATTAGAAGATCACATTCAAAAAAGTATTACCTCTACAACATCAGCTATTAAATTATCATTTACCAACTTTTAAGAATATTATAACGAAGAAAAGAAAAAGTTAACTAAAAAACTTTAAGATAAGAAAGTTGAGATTGAAAATGACTAATCATTAGATAAATTCACTTTTCAAAAAAAAAATTATTTACACAAAGATAAGAGTCTTTTTTGCTCCTTGATTTTATAGAGATCGTTTAACTGTCTTCTAATATAGATTTCAGCCTATAAAGAATGATAAAAATGGAAGAAAAGATATAAAAGGTAAGCTATTAAAATTATATTACAGATCATATGATTTACTATATTGTAACTCAATTTTAATAGCAAATCTTCTATATGTTAAAGATGTCTTATTACATTCTAAAGAAAAAATGCAGATATCATAAATAAACATTGTAATGCACTATCAAGAATGTAATTACTAATTGACTCTAATTTCATTTTATTAATTGATTCATAAGATAATTTTGTGCAGTCTGAATTCACATCTGATGAGTTAAAAGAGAATTTCAAAGTAAAATCTATGTAAGGATTATTATATATAGATGATGACTTGCTGGATTTTTTGCAAAAGTAATTTATGAGTCTTGTCATTTCATTTATCTATCATCTTTATAACAAACTAATTTACTTTACAGAACTTAATAAAAGACATATGCAAAGCACTTTATTCTTTATACCTTTGAATTTGCAAAATTACAATCCTTATGCTGATTTCTCATATGAATATATAAAAACTATAGTGTCTAATTGATAAGTGATAATTAAACTCTTAATGTTCATATTTTATACCTTAACTTAACAATAAATAAATATTATGTAGGGTTCATTTGCTAGAAATGAAGTCAAATCTGCTAACAATTACACAGGATTTACCAGAAAGTTATTCTGAATAAATATTTGGAGGATATATACTTATTATTCATACTATATAGGTATGGGATAAAGTTCTAACTTTATCTCACCTAAATCCCATTCCTTAAACTAAAACTTTAACAAACAATATTATCATAATTAATAATAATAATTTAATAATATTTATTCATTATCTTCGTCTTAATAAGAAAATTTAAATGATTATTATTTTATTTTTATAAGTAGAATATTGATTAAGATATATTATAAATAAAATGAAATTTGAGATTTGAGATTGAGATTAGGATATAGAATATAGGATTTTAAATATAATATAGGATTTAAGATAGTATAGGATTTTTTAGTATAAGATATAGACAGTAACTATAGGAGAATAGTTAATATAGCCTTTTGGATATACCCTTTATGTTATTCATTAGATGAGTAAAAGAGTAACTATTACATAATCTTTAAATAGATTTGCAAGCAAAGTACCTAAAATTTTTTATAGTATATAAACTATATGATTATATGAAAGTGTTTAAAATAGATTTAAGTATCTAGTTTAATCAAAAATTATTAAAAGATATATAATTATAATTTACTATTTTATATTTAACTTTTGCTGTTTTGTATAGAGATAAAAAAGCTAGACTAGCGATTAAAGATAGGAATAATTGTGGTAGAACCCTTAATAATAGGTCTAATGTAATGGAAAACTATAGGAAAGAAAGAAAAGAGATATGTTTAGTTATTTAGTTTAAAATTAATTGATTAAGCAGCATCTGAGGCAGTATTGAAATAGAAAGGAAAGAGATCAAGAGATAAAGATTATAAAGGAATGTGATTTATCTTTATTAAAAGTTTTAAAAGGCATTTTTATTAGTTTAACATGTATGATAAACTTTGATGAAGATAAGTTAACATCCTGAGATTTATTTATGCAAGTTTTTACTAGATTAATATATTTTGAAATAAAACTTGATTGAAATTACTAATACAGAATTTATATAGGAGCTATTTAATCAAAACTAATTTTGATTATTTAAAAAGATATGTATGCTGAAATATAAGGAAAGCAGTATTGATAAATAATCTTGAAATGATCTCAAATGATCTTAAATGATATTATTTTTATTATAAATTTCAAGTTAAAATGACAAAAATAGTAAATGATCTTAAAATTGCTATAACTGAAGGGAAGTATCACTTAAATATATTTTGATTTAAAACATTTAACAGAACATTTAAATGCTCTAGTCTTCATCATTTATGTTAAGGTAAGTTTTATTTAATTGTTATACTTTTAATTTAACAAATTAAATTGATTTATTTATTTTCTTTATCTTTAGATTTTGAATACAATGGTAGTAAATTTTACAACAAATCTAAAAAAATGGAAATCCATAAAAACTGTAAATTCTTATTACTATTTTGCATTAAAAAAAGAATCACCTTTCACATGATCTGTATTTTAGATGAATTAGTCAATTTGAATTATAAAACTTTATTTATTAAAGAGTAAAAAATATTCAATTTATTTTTGTCTAAATTATCTAAAAAATAAGATTATAATTAGGGTTAAGAAATTTGCATATATTAGATAAATTGACATTATACTTATACTAATTTAATATTAATTATTATAATATATTAATTATACTAATTGTTATATAAATCCTAATTCTGAATATAATATTATATAAAAATAATTAAAATATATATTTTTTATTATATTATTTATATAATAAGTAATGCTTTATAGAGAAAGTTGTGTATAATTTTAAGAATAGACGTGAAAAAGATAAATTAAAATCTTATTTTCTTTTTATATAATATAATTATTCTTATTAAGATAATCAAAATTAAAATTACTAAAGATTTAAAATTTTATAATAAAATATATTAGATATTATAATAATAAAAAATATGATATAATTGTTATATCACTGTTAATGTGCAATTCTTATGAATTACGACAGTTAAACAGGGTGTTTGAGTGGTGATTCTTTTAAGTTTACATAGTGACTCAATTCAGTTTATCTCAAGATTTATAATCTACACGGTGGTGTATTCACGATAAGACTAAAAACAAAGCGGCTCGATTGATTCAGAGATATAATAATATGTTTATTGACAATAATAATAATAATAAAGATATGAGATAATAATAGAAAAATAAGAAAATAAGAAGTAATATGAAAAGAAATCAAAGAGTTAAAGTACTAAGTGGAATGTTAGGCCAGGCGCCTCTACAAGAACTACTAGATGTGTATCCAAAAGCAGGACTAAAGGAAAACTAAAAGTGAACTAAAAGCGAACTACTGTTTTACATGATTCTATTGCTCTCTATTTATACTAAATTAATACATAGATGGATATAACAAATAAATCAAATAAATCAAATATATCTTATATGTCCGATATGTCCAAGATATCAATTATATCAAATATGTCTGACATTTAGATCTGCAATATGCTACGCTACGTTCGTCAATCCAATCCTGTTACACTAGTCAAATTAATTAACAAACATTTGCTAGATATATTATCGAAAGAATATGTCCTCAAAGGTCATAACTTTATAAAATTATCCTTCTGCTCTACTTTTAAACCTATCTACATCTTAGATAATATTAAATATGACTACCTTTTCATAATAACAAATACCTTTGAATATTATTTCAAGACATATTTAAAGCTTACAATTGTGTAAATTTAGCCATGCTTTTTAATGTGCTTAATTGTTAAACTTTTACATACTTTTTGAATTTTGTAGCTTCACTATTCTCGAATCAATTTAATCAGATTTTTACAACACATAGTAATACTGAGCTATATCCTGTATTTTTTAGAATTAATCAAAGAGAAATTATTTCTCCTATCTTATAGTGTATATATTATGATTCTCTTCTATATCATATTCAAAATATCTCACTTGACTATGATTTCAATGCTAAGTGATACCTTAATATCAATTGTTTAAATCTCTTCAGCCTTAACACATATATTCACACTTTTTTAAATAGATAATACACTATAGATTAGCAATTTTAAAGAAAACTTAAAGTCAATTTTATTAATTGCAGATGATTTCTATGAACTTAACAGTATTCTTGTCAATTAGGATAAATCAGTTCTCCTGACTTTTATTTCTCTTAATAATCCAATATACTTTAAGCTTACTCATAATGAAGAATAGATTACACTACTAAATTTCAAACCTTTAACTTGTTATTTAAGCATCTGGATCTCTTTATTATTAAATAGCTTATTTATCTATCAATAAGTTTGCAATAAGGTTGTCGTCACTGTGCTGACTATAAAAAATAAATACATTATAAACAAATAACTTAAAATTATTTTTAATTCTATTCTACTATTACATATTTTGTACTGTTCACAATTAATTTTTCTTGATTACAAATTCTGTAATGGAATTATAGGAACTTACAGAAAAATTTTTTGATTAACTATGAATATGACTAAAAGTACCCATCAGTTATCATTCATTTTTTATTATTTTATAATATTAACATATATTTTCAGTCTAAATCTAAGCAAAAGTCGCTAACTTTACAAAGATGATTAATAATAAAGGATTTTTAAGAACCATGGTATTGATTTGCAATTATAATTTTCAAAATAATGAATGGCTAATTCAATCATCACTTGCTATATGTTCAAAGACTAGTGATCTGCTCTTTTATCAAATTTTAAATTTCTTAATACTACGATTATAAATAGCTGAATGAATAATAATACCATTATTAGAGGATACATTTCTCTAATAAAAGTATATAGTCTAACACTGTTCAAGAAATTCACTGATAAATTGAAAAAGAAAAAACTATTGTTTATCAATCAGATAACTATATCTGATGATATAGCCCTTTTTACTCTACCTGATCTAAAATACTTATCAGCTGCTCTTATCCTTCTTAAATTACTGATTTGGTTCATTAAACTTCAAAATAAATTACTGCTTAATGATTCTAACAGAAATATTCTAGTACAATTCCAACATCCATATGATAACAGAATCTAAACTAAATTACCAATTCACATTAAAAATATAACATATTTAACTGTTGGTTAGCATCTCCCCTCTAATGCAATCATTGTTGGCAAAGTACTCAAAATTGAATTCAATATTATTTATATTTTAACATTTTTACTTTCAAGCAGAAATATTATGAAAAACAGTTCTTATAGCATACAATAGCTGCCTTATTAATGATTACATTATTTTTATACCTCTAATATAAGAAATAAATATAATTCATGTTTTGTTAAAATAGCTCTTTCTTTATATTTATTTTTATATGCTTTACCAACCTGAAGTAATGGTTATCTAAAGTTCTAAATGAGTTAAGTTAATTCATAAATCAGATAAGTATAGTCAAGTTTAAATTTATATTTTTTGACTTGATAATTTGCGAGTCATGCCAAATTCAAGTCAAATTAAATATTTAACTTAACTTGATTTAAACTTAACTCAAACTCAACTTAACTCAAATTGACTTAAAATAGTATTATTAATAAATTAATATTTTAAAACTATAAAATTATATATTATTATAATTAAAATACTTTATAATAGTTAAAATATATTAATAGTTAATAATTGAAATTTATTTTATTAATTTAAATTATAAATTTTAAATTTTATTAGAAATGTATATAGTTAATTATTTTTTTATTAATAAGATAATTAAATATTAAATCAGTATAGTTAGACTTTATTTTAATAATATTTTTATCGATAAAATATATAAAAAAATAAAAATTTTTATAAAATTAATTAAAAAATCTAATTCTTCATAATACCTGCTTTTTTTCATTGCTTTAGCAGTTTTTTCAATTAAAGTAAATGCACTAGTATATTGAATGCCATCTTTACTTAAATTAAGTTTAGCTATACTATATATAGCTTTCGTTAATCAACACTATATTGAATTTGATGTTATTTTAAATGTAACATCATAATCAAGATAAATAAAATATTCTTCTTTAACTACACTAATTTCATAAACAAATCCTATTGCAAATTCTAATCTATTCTTTTTCTGATATCCTGCAGCTTCATAGTTTTCTGCACAAAATACTACATCTATTTTCTATTCATTATTTAAATTTACTTTTTGCTTAAATGTTTCATATAGAAGAGTTTCTAGGAAAATCAAATTCTGAGAAATTTTTGACTAAAATTAAGAGCTTAATATATTTTAATCTAATAATATCAAAAATTAAAATGTAATAAAAATCTCAATTTTGCTAAAAAATTCCTAAAACCTGATTTTTCTAACAATCAACTCAAATGATAATACTGATCATGATACATGATCTTCAGTATTTTTATATAACCATTCTCCAAAATTATCTTCATCTTCATTATATATTTTTTGTATCTCTAGATCAAGATTTTTATTTTTATATACATATGAATCAGTAGTTGATGGATTTAAAAAATTTGTATGAAGATCATAACCAATTAATTTTTCTGAATTAGCATGTATTTTTATTCACAATTAATTTTAGGATGTGTATCGCAGATAAGTTTTATTTTAAATCTAAAATGATTCGCAACATTTTTTTTTACAATATTATAAATTACTTCTCCAACAATTTTATCATCACATTTTAACAGAACAGATTGATTTTCATTAATAATAACAAAGTCCTTTTCTTTTTTAATATCTTCACAAGTAATAAATTTATGAAATATTTTTCAACTAAATTTAATCTATGATTTATAT